CATACTGGTTATACTGTGGCATGCAGCAGCAGCAAATTAGTCACGTGATCCAAATTCACTAAAGCATATTTGCTGCTCATGGAAAAGGAATAGCTGCAGCAGCACTGTCCGGCTAGATCGCGTGTCTGCTGCTTTGCTGTTCGTTCAATTGAACTTCACAGCGATGAAGCAAAATATGGTGAAATTTATTTTGCAGCATCTAGTAACAATTCTTCAACCAATAGCAGCGAGTTGCTGCGGCAGTATGCTGCGCATGAAATGGTACCTTAACTTGCGTAGCGTAACCTGCGTATCACCAATCACAGGGCCATTTTGATAGAACCGTTTCAATAATACCGTTGAAATAGTTCTGGGGCTCGATTCTTGAATTTATTCGAAGGAGAAACGTATGCGAAAATTCTGCTCTTTAGCCCAATGTCCATGATGCTAGAACTTGGACCAAGTTCTAGCATCATGGACATTGGCCACGTTCAGCAAGCACAACTGTTGAGTGAGGGTGCTTTCACATGGAGCATAAATTGCGTAGCGTAACCTGCGTATCACCAATCACAGGAACATGCTGATAGAACCGTTACACTGGTCTAGTTTACACCGTTAAATCGGTTGGTGCGCATATCAAGTTGGTACGGACTAAACATTTGATACATCCCTGTTTACACCATTTCGTCTCAAAACAGGTTAGGTTAGATTTTTAATCTGAACAAAGTAAAATCAAACTTCTACCACAATATGCTAAACTGAATCATACTTCTAACCTCAATCTAGCAGGAATGCCGGGTATAATACGACCCGAATCGAATCAAGCGTTTACAGCACCCTAAGATATTTTGATACGCGCACCAACTTGGTCTGATACTAGCGATTCAGGAGTATCAGACCAGAGCGCACTAAAGTAATCCGCGAGCGTTTACATCGAGCGAACCAAGCGATTTGATACCGATATAGTATTTGGTACGCGTACCAAACGATCGGTGTAAACTAGCTCAATAATTCCGTTGAACTAGTCCTGTGATTGGCGATACGCAGGTTACGCTACGCAACTTACGCTCCATGTGAAAGCACCCTAATAGACTTGGTTTAGTTTACAGTTGTTTACTACTGGAGGCGCTGCAGATGTTGGTAGACGTTCAAAATTATCGTTTGCAATCAGTTGTTATATAGTTTAAGGTCCCGCCTAAAAGTTGTTATGTACTTATTTGTCTGGCATTTGATTTTCCTTTACTGGTCGATATAACTCTTCGCAAGAAGACAGGCAAAGACAGCTGTCATATAATCAAGAAAATATTGGTCCGTTGTATTGATTTTATTAAGAAGATGAGTGCCACATTTTGAAGAAATTTCTTTGTCTCTGATGCTGCGTGACGGTAAAGTACAATTGTAAAGTGCTATTTTGAGTCAGTTGAAAATTAACTAATTCTGAGACTACTGATTGAGAAGGAGACAAGAATTTCTTCTAAACTCGCTATGGATAAACGAAAATTGTTGAAAAGTAGCTTGCACAATATGCAACCAGTTAACCAATCATTGGAGAGAATTGACTCTAGTACTAATGAACAGGCAAGTTCCCGCAGCACTGATGTTACAACACAGGGAAGGAAGGATTCGTTTTGTGAAGGAAAATTGTCGGGTACCAGGTCGACAGCATTGCAATCCTTAAACATTTATTCGAAAGAAAATAGTAATTCCTCTGTTAAAAATAGAAAAAGAGGTTTATGTGAGTCTGAGAATGACATGGTGGAAATAGATGATTTACCTGTTATTCCTAAGATATCGAAAGTTAGAACATCAATGTCGAAACAGTTGAATAGCCAAGCATCAGCAAATGTATCGTTTATGTCAAGCCAAGAAGAGAACGTGCAGTTATCAAGAAACACCATATCAATGACAAATAAGTCTTTGGATACCGCTGGTCCATCTGTAGAACAATTAATCGTGCAAAAGCATAAAAGTGCAAATCCAAATTCATCGGACAAAATTTCCAATACTAATCTTAACCTTCCATGCAACAAATACAACATTATGAAGAAGAAACAGGACAAAACTATACTTGATACAAGTACAAAGCGTGCTACCCAAGATGTTAATATTAGTCGCAGTTCTCCTAAGAAAACGTATCACAAATCGCCCATTAAAGCAACAATTACTGAATCTTGTACTTCTCGGAGGAAACAAAAGAAGCCACAGGAATTTCAGTCATCTACAGAATCGGAGAAACACAAACTTACTGATAAAACATTAAAGACATCTATGGTTAATAATGTGGAAAATTTCCTGGAAAAGCAAAATTTACCATCTGTTTTCTCTAATTTTTTACAGAAATGTGGAATTGTATTGTCAACTGATGGCACGTATACACTTGGTAAGTTTTTACTGCAGGCTGTTTTCTTAATCTTTAGTTATAAAAAAGTATAAAGTTTACCAGATGAATATTTTGCACGTTAAAATTTCTTTGTTTAGGTGGTCCGCCTTCCATTGTTGTACGGAAAATGAAAAGAGTAATAAATTCGAGGCAATATCAGAAAAAGGACATAATTGATTCCATAGAGGAATATATTAGAAATGAAGAGAATTTTGAAAAGATGCTGAACGATATGGATGTATGTACTGATAACAATGGCTTTGACATCCTGAGCAAAGTGACTCTTGCAAGAATTCTGTTAGAAGTTACTGAGATCCAAGCAGATATATATAATATTTTCATGTCTAAACTTAATGAATCTGTTCTTTTAGCGTAAGTATCAAAGATTGAAATCTGTGTGATTTGCTAGATATAAATTCAGATATCTTTGCTTATTACTATAGTCTCCATTCGCAAATAAATAAAATACGATAATTGATATAAATATTAAAACAATGATAATGTTCTTTCGCTTGGTTATTGGAACAACTTGCTAAAATTTTGTTGATTTGATTCTTGAATATTTATACATATCCCAGTCAAAAATGACTCGTTAATTGACGTCGAAACGATGTATCAACATCGAAACCGTCATATTGACGTCAATTCGACATTATTTCAATGTCGATCGACAAGTCATTTATCGCTGATTGTGAGATGTACCCAGATAGCCAGTGTGCTCAAGCAATGTATGAAAATAAATTGCCAGCAACTGATGCTGGTTCTTTGCTGGGAATATGAATTCAATGGTTGAGTGATTTAAGTACAGCTAGCATAATGTTAACATATTGTCGTAGTTAAATGCACAGCTAAAGAGAGAGCACATTGAATAGGCATACTGTTAACAAAGAATTAGCATATATTGTTTTCAATTTTCTAACAGATATAAACACGTTATATCTATTACATCTAACCAAGTACTTAATGTTTGAATCATGCAAATGTTTCATTTCCGACACCAAATGCTAGCAAATAACAGCACAATAAACGACATAGATGCATAGCAAGATGCTAACATTTTTCTTAGCAATGTGAAAGCAACTTGTGTTCACACTGGCTATCTGGGTATACATTGCTGATTGAAAGTTTGAAATCACATATAAAATTTCAGAATATTTTAATGAAACGTTGCTTGAAAGTCCAATTCATGTCTTGCTCAATATTTTAATTTGAAAGTAAATAAGTATTTTATAGCATTATGAACGTAGTTATAGCTAATATAACATTAAATTCTTAAAAGATGAACTACAGTCATAAAGTATATTTTCTACAATTGAGCTGCGGACTATTTTAGAAAAACGAACGGAAGAGTTCTCGAGAAAGAAAGAAATTTGTAGCTACATTATTTAGATTTATTAAAGAGAGAGGAAATAAATGTAAGGCTGTTTTAACGAAAAAAGTTTCTAATGCCTTTTTCATCTTTAAAATGTTTTATTTCTAGAAGTTTCAATAATTTTGTTTATTTAATTCTAAAACAATGAAATAACGATTTGTCAAATTACAATATATAGTATAATGGATTTGATTTAATTTTATACTAGCACGCCTTTCATGATTATTGCAATACTTAATAATTTCTGATAATTATATCGCTGTTAAATCAAATTTGACTTATTTCATATGCTTTATTTTTATTTTATACAAATACACTACTGATAAAAAATTTGTAATATACATTGAAAAATAATTAAAGTCTTGTATTTTAAACATTTTTTACCAAATTTATAGGAAAAAAACTTTTTACCACATAAAAAATTTTCCTCAGAACTTTTATTGTTTAGTCACTAATGCAACAACGTTTGTCTTATATTGGTAATGTAAAATATACAATATCTTATTATTTTATTGTATTTTATATGGTAGAATTTTCAATTAAGGATTTCAAAGTTTCGCCAGTGTCTACATATATGATTTGCTTATTTGCTTTATGCACTTTTATATATGCACGCGCACGCTCACACACGGACACACTTTCATGAACTCAATTCTTTATTTATAATTGTAATATTGGAAAGACATATTTTAATTAATGCACATATTTTCTGCACCTTTATATAGAGATACTTTAGAGGAAGTACCATGGGCAGTGTTACTATTACACCAATTTCGTTTTTTGGATACTATAACTGACGTCGATGTATTAACTACTAATATACAACAGTTATTGGAAACATGTCCGTTGTGGTTTCAACAAGAACTCATTTTATTTCTACCTGACATTTTGTCAGATACTCAACATCAGATTATCGCTGAAATTCTAACGAAAATGTTGAAAGAAAATTGCGAATTGACAAATGTAATCTTGAACTGTATTGCCAGTTTTAATTTTGGCAAGGAGTACTTGGAAGAGTATAAAATTAAAGTGTTACAATTGTTAAAAACGTCTATGAAGATAGAACATATACCAATTATCATCAGGTACATTTATATTTAATTCTAAATGTTTTGTTATTGCTCGTGCTTTTATTTAATCGCAATAACTTTTTGAATTGTATCGCAGATTTCTTCTCAATGATTGCGCATCTTCTGATATTATCAGACAAATGTTACTTGTATTACGTAACATAGAAATGCAGCCTCTTACTGGAGATGAAGCTGAAAACTATTATAAAAATCAAGTACAAATAGTTAAAACATTAAAGATGTATATGTTACTAGCTAAAAATGTAACAGATACCGCAATAACAATAATAAAAGATATTGATAAAAATCCAAAACCATTGGATTTAATCATTTTGCTTTTAGTATTTTCTGGGACAATAAGGCAGAAAAATGCAGAAGCTTTATTGAAGCAACATATACGTTCTGGTTTTTACAGGATACGTTTTCTTTGTACACTTTACAATGATTATAAGGAGGTTTGTATATTGTAAAAACTTTTATGTAATTTGTTTTGCGCGCACATGCGTGTGTATGTATGATATTGCATTATGCTTCTGTATATTTTATTCAGGTTGTTCGGGAATTACAATCGCCAATATTGCAGTTGACTGGTAAACTGTTGAGGTGTGAAGAACGTGTGTTCATTATTTTTGCGACCGAATGGTTCCAATTACAGTTTCTTAGTCAAAAAGAAACACCATTTAAACAACGTGAGATTGTAAAAAATACTATTCTTCTCATGGGCAATAATGATCAAACTATGAAACATGCATTGAATGTACTGTGCAAACTGGCGAATAATACAAAAGAAAGAGATTGTTTAGTATCACACTGCAATCATTTGAGAATTTTACTAGAAAAGGTGGATTGTTTTGGACTAGAAGAAGTTGGCACTCTAAGCGATTTGTTACATGGATTATGTCTAGCTGATAACTCTACCTCAGAATCTTTACATGATGATTTATTTATATTGTTGCAGAAACAATTGTCTACTGCTAAACCCATGTAAGCCAAAAATAATATTAATATGACATTAACATAACGTTACAGTTATAATCTTATTTTATGAATGGTTGGATTATTTCAGTACAAAATGTAAAGGTGTTATGGGAGCAGTGATGGCAATAAAACATTTGGCAGGGAAAGCTGAAACATGCGACCAAGCTCTAAAATTATTCAGTACGTTTATCTTGCATAATTTTAAATTATTGTGTACACCTACGTGTGATATATATATATATATATGTATAGTATATAGAAATTTATGATAAAGTGTAATGTTCTTTGATACAACACATCATAAAGTAACAAGTATATAATACATAAATAAGTAAATAAAATAGTAATAAAGATAAATATATAAATGTTTTATATAAACATCTTTTGCAGATAAGGTAATGAAGAGTGTGAAAAGTTGTTGTAAATCACAGCCTCTATTTTATGACCAACTAGCACAAATAATTGGAGAAACTGAACTTAACATTGAATTTGTGAAAAAAATTAATGACTGTGTTGAAAATGAGTTTGTTAATATATATGTGACAGATACATTAGAATCCAGGTAAATGCTACATACAATATACTATAAAATTTAAAGATTTTATGTAAATACATACATATGTGTATAAACTACATATTCTTTTCTGGTTAGTTACATAATTCGTGATGTGTAAATATGAAATTAAATTTTACATAGATTTTTTATGCTTTAACGAGGTAGTGTTCCTTTTTTCTAAATAAGATATTTAAATAAAATGTTCCAAATCACTTCGTATTTTAGTAAAATTAAAGAAATTATATGTATATAAACATATCATAAGGTATATATTTGTTTATATAAAATTAAAAGAGGTTACTTATAAAAATAGTAAATGGTAAAAAAATATAATTTAAAGGATTTCTAATTGCTTTTCATGAGATATATTCCTTAACATGTCATTTTTTCAATTGTCTTTTTAGGAAGTTCATAGGTTTAGTGTACACAACTGATTGATTTGAATGACGGTAGAGACTGATAGAGAGAGAGAGCACATACAGAAACCATTAAAAATTTTGAGTTGCATATTTTCTTTTTAAGTTTATTATTTTACAATAAACTAAGATTTATCATAGATCTTCTTTGTCAAAAGTTTATTCGTTTATTATTTTATTTATTATATATTTAAAAATATATAATATGAAACATATTTGATATACATTCTATTTTATCGGTGCAATAACTTTTGAAAATATCTTGTGTATGTGTGTGTGCGTGTGTGTATACACTTAAAAATACAATACAAACTTTCTTTTATCAGATGTGATTAATTATGTGATGATTATAGATAATGGTAAAATATAAAAGAATGATAAAAAAGAATATATGTATAAATATACATAGATATATGGATATATGTTTATGTACTTTTTATCAGGGATGATCTTGTACCTAAATTTGGACTAAATACAGAAAACGAGTCGCAAGACTGTGTGTTAAATTTTGGAAATAAAAGATCCGGTCCAATTGCACCAATACTATTCCGACTTCTTAAGACATGTTGTATGAAGCTCAGTGAACATGAACAATTGGAGGCTATAGATGCTCTTTTGGGATGCGGAATGTTAATGCCACAAAACATTGATATACCAGAATCATCAACATTAGATCTTATTATATGTTGTATTAATTGGTAAGCATTTACTTGAATTATTTTTTTATAATGCAGTAATATGCACACTATTCCTATATTCTTAATTTAAATATTATGTCAATCTAGCTAAGATTATAAATAACTGTAAGAGAAATGTTGTAGGCTTAGAGAAATAATCTCAGGCTTTGTCACGCAAACCGATTCTCTACTGCAAAAACAAGTGCTAAAACGGCTGGATACTTTGATATATTTACAAAGTGAATTTAATATGTTGCTAACGTTATGTGACACCAAATACCAACCACCACCATGCTACTTTCATTATTTTCCATTGCCGCCGTTTGTAAAAATTGAAAGAAAGTTTAGTAAAAAGGGAAAAAAATCTACAAAAGAAAAGAAAATAAACACTTCTATGTCAGTAAGGAATGAAGACTGGGAGATTGGTTCTATGCTGTGCTCTAAAAATCCAGCATATTTCAGAAAATTTGATGCAAAGGTATACATTAAGAATTTATATATATATACAAGCACACATACACACATACACATACATATATACATACATATAGGGTGTCACAATTTAATGTTCCACCCCAAATAACTTTTTATTTTTGATCGCAGAAAAAACGTTTTAGACAAAAGTTGTTTGGTTTGAAGGGGAACAATAAGATGGTACTATTAGTTTGACCTTGACGCCATGTGCAAATTTCTAATTTGC